CTTCAGCTCTATTGGCAGCACACTTGACCCTTTACACTTCAGTGCAATGACCTGCACACAAGATGGGGCACAAAGGACATCACCCAGGAGAAGGGCCCTGTAACAAGAGTAAGGAATAAGATGGATAGCCTGGGTCCTGAGCTATTACCCAGAGAATGTCAAAGATAGGGAGGAAAGCTTCCACACCATTGTGGAGATCTCTTATGGAGAACGTAAGGAAGAGCATGGACAAGAATTACCCAGGAGGAGAAGATGTGGATGGCTTGTGAGAGAAATAATTATTTCTCTCTTATATTAATAATTAATTATTGAATTAGGACCAGGATTTTTTCCCTTCCTACTTCCTAATTCAGAAACCAGAAACCTATAGGTTGTTCAGTCTCTGAAGGACATTGTTGATGCATGAGATTGCCCAGATCCTGGTGTACAAGCTTTTTGATCCTGGGTGGGAGACCCCACCCAACCAGAGAACCTTCCAAGGAACTTAATCTAAGGTGAATTCTTGCCCATTGTGTTCTACTGAGACTGGGGGAGGGGGGTAAATCCTTTGTCTACGTTGGCTGGGGCACGGGGTAAGTAGTCTGACTTGAGATAGTCTCCCTTTGTCCATGAGTGACATCATCAAAGTCACATCCCCCAGGCCCTCATTAGAATAGGCCCACCTCTCATTATAACATTCATTCTTCTCATTAATGTGAACCAATCAGAGTTCATTGCCACCTGTCAGGAACACCCACTCTTTCAAGGGCATATAAGCATCAAGAGGCCACTATGATCCATCTTTGGTTTAGGAGAGATAGCCAAATGACTCTTTTATTAACTATCAGCTAGCAATAATTAATAAAATGATTGATTACCCAGAAATTATGCCTCTCAAGCTTTTTATACACTTATAGCTGTGATCCATACTGATGAAGGGTACCCATAATGAGATCATGGATCCACTTAAATATTACATAAAAACAGACAACCTGGTACAACGGAGAGAAGACTAGAGATTCAGAGGTGGAAGGGACCTTACAGGCTATCTAATCCAACTCCTTCATTTTACAGATGAAGAAACTGAGGCACAGAGAGGGTATGTGACTTTACCAGGAGCACATAGGTTGTAAGTACCAATGCTGACATTTGAACACAGGTCTTTCCAAGTCTGAGTCTAGATACTCTGAATGCAAGTCTTCAGTCCTGGACTTAGATTCAGGAGACTTGGATTTGAGTCTCTCTGCTTTGCCACTGAAAGATGTGTGACCTTGGGCAAGGCATTCGACCCATCCAAACTACAGTTTAGTCACCTGTGAAGCGGAGATAATAATGTTTGTACTATCCCCCTCACAGGACCATTGTGAGGGTCAAATGCTTTAAAGTACCACATAAACATCTTCCAGGATTCTTTCCTGTGACCATAGGCAAATCATTTCCCTTTTCTGAGCCTCAGTTTATTCATCTGTAAAATGGGGATAATGACTTTTTATTACTGTACAGGAAAGTGCTTTTCAAAGTGTATGGTACTTTATAAAGAGGCTACTATGATTTTTATCTCACTTTTCTCATCTTTTTTGATTAGCTTCAAGGGACAAGTAACTATGCTAGTTTCCTTTTTATTGGATTTTTTTGTGGTCTATTGCATCTATGGCATAGATGGATAAAATAGCTGCTTTTTTTTTTTTGGTAATTAAATAAAAGCATTAGGATGTCAGCTTGGCCCCTGTAGGCTCACCAAGAGAATCCTCCAAACAACTTTGGTAGCAGCCAGGACAACCAAGGTGACATGCCTCTCCTCCTGTCGCCCTTCCCCCCAAGATTTGGATTTCTCTTTATGGGTCTCTATATGTTGGAGGCTTTTCCTTCCATGCAGACTGGAGATTATGAATGTTTAGTATGATGACATCTATTAAAATATCATTCTCATGTTTATATTAATCAACATTTTGTCCAGGTGATGGAGGGCAACAGTTGATTCTATGATAAAGGTCAAGGCTCCAGAACAGTTAATTGACTGAGTTCTTTAGGATCTCTCGAGGTTTGTACTTCTAGCATGAGGCCTTGCTGTCCTTTACACCATGACAGAGTGATGTTCTGGTGTAGAATTCTAGCCCCCAAGTCAATATTGAAGAGTTTTTGTTGTTTAGTTGTCTGACTCTCCAGGATCCCATCTGGGATTTTCTTGGCAGAGATGCTGAAGTGGTTTGCCGTTTCCTTCTCCAGATCATTTTCCAGATGAGGAAACTGAGGCAAATAGAGTTAAGTGACTTGCCCAGGGTCATACAGCTAGTAAGAATCTGAGACAAGATTTGAACTCAGGAAGACGAGTCTTGGTGACTCCAGAGCCTGCACTCTGCCACCTAGCTGCCCCTGGCCGGGTATTTGGTAGATGCTAAAGTTTTACAGCCTTTGGTGACCTATTGCATGGTTGCTACCATCTTCTTACACAGTCGGCTTTAATGATAGTGATTATGCTGAAATGTTACTATAAGGATGAAATTAAAGGACTTTGAGAAGAAGGAGTTCTGTTCCTTCCCTGGCAATGCCTGAGTGACTAAGAATGCTAGTTTTAGTGATAGGTGACCTGGGTTTAAAGCCTGGCTCTGACAGCTTCTCTGTCTGTGGACCTCTCACTTCCCTTTCAGGGTTACAAAGAACAAGCACTTCTAAGTGCTTTACAAATATTATCCCACTTGATCCTCTCAACAGCTCTGAGAGGTAGGTGCTGTTATTATCCCCATTTTACTGATAAAGAAACAGAAGCAGGCAGAGTATAAGAAGACTAACTTGCCCACAACCATGCCACTAGGAAATGTTTGCAGCTGGATTTGAACTCAGGCCTTCTTGACTCCAGGTGTAACACTCTATCCACCACACCACCAGAAGCCTCATACCTGCTCTGTTCCTTTTCACTAATTTTGTGCTGGTGGTTCTTTCTCTTGACATCATTGTAGTCACTGTGGCTATTTTGTGTTTTCTTGGTTCTGCTATCTTCACTCTGCATCAGTTCAGAGAAGTCTGTCCAGGAACAAGCATTTCTTGGGTAGCTACTATGTGACACATGCTTGTAGGTGACATCTAAGGTCCCTCGCCTTCTAAATCTGTGAACTTAGAGAGTGAGGGGAAACAATCTGGGAAAGTAAGTGGAGCTGTTAAAGACCTAGGGAAAACCTTGACTACCCCTGGGGCTCAGGACTTACCAATCATATCTGCCCTGCAAATGCTGAGAGGGAGAGGTGTTCTTAGCCTGGAAACAAAAAGACCTTGCTGGTGGCCAAAGGGAAGGCTACAAGGCAGGAAAGGGGAGGAATCTAAAGGTGCCAGCCCTCGAGGCCATGAGCCACTAGAGAGACAAGGCTCTCATGAAACCCTCAAAGAACAAGTGAAGAATCTGAATAAAACCAACCTTAACACCCCAGAAAACAGCCTAGTTCACAAACCAACTCTGCCACTAACTAGCTGTGAGTATGGGCCAATCCCTCACCTTCTCTGGCCTCAGTTTCCTCCTCTGGCAAATGACAGGGATTGGATTTTATGTCTAAAGGCTCTTCCCACTCTTGGATTCTATGGATTGAAGAATTTCTTCCTCAGAGCTCCAGGCAACCATCCTGGACAAAAGGAAATGGACCAAAGTCAAGGCTCTGTCTTTCTTAGAGACCTCCAAAAAGTCAAAGATAGGGATTGCCAACACATCCTGAAACCCACGCTTGAATCTTTGAGGCCAGAGAAGGAAGCAGCTGCCCTTTGAAGGAGGGCATACAGGAACAGGAACAGGAGGACAGGAGGGGACAGAAGGACTTGGGGGCTTACAGCAAGAAGCAGGTTCTGGGAGGGACAGAGGCCCAGAAGGCAGAATGGCAGTGACCACCTGAGTCTCCTGGAGGCTCATCGCCTTTCTGGATGTCTCTGTTTAGGCCCCGCACTGATTCAGATATCCAGTTTTATGTTCAGAGTTTGTCAAGGTAGCTGAGTTGCTCTGCTGTGTTTACCTTAGGCCTCTAGCAACCAATCCTCTTTAAACATTGTAGCCGTGGGTATCATTTATCAAAAGGAAGAAGGTTTTCTCACCTACTGGTCAGTATAGAGGAAACAGGTGCTTGTATATGAACATGATGTGGGCAACTGGCCCTCATCTGGGACCTAATGAGAGCCACAGCGACCTACGCAGTGCTAGGAGATCCAGGAAGGGAAGTCAGGGCTGCCTGCAGCCATCGCGCCTTCTGCCTGTATGTGCCCTGAGTGTTAAGAGTTGGAGCCAGCGTGAAGTAACCAGGGTGCTGAGCACCAGGGATTCTGTTTCTTCTTGACAGTGGAACTCTTCCTGCTCCCCACCATGGTCCCCACTCCCCCATAGCAGCAGGACCACCTTAACTTCCCCAACAATGCACAAGTCCATCTTCCTCTACTTCTGTAGCCCTTCCCTAAACTCTCCTGGGAGACTGGGAGGTTAAGTGTCATTGACAACACAGTGCGGGAATGAGCTCTTTGGGCAATCCCTCCTCCCCCGGTGTAACTGCACCAGGCTGGATTACATCCAAAGGGCAACCCTCTAAAGCATTTGCCCCAAGCACTAGAAACGCTCCTTTCGGCTCTCCTGGGAGTCTCCCACAACATAAACACCGGGACCATAATAAATGTAGAAGCAGCGTTTATTAATGAAGCAGGTGAGTCAAGAATCCAATCTGAGGCCCCCGGGCCTGGCCCGTTTCTCCTTACCACTTTTCCCCTCCCCCCAACCCTGCCCTCTGCCTCCTCAGTGATCCCAGATGGCGGTGGTGAGGAGATCTTGCCCTGGGGTGTGAGGGTGTGGGATGGGGTCTCTGCCTGTAGCAAGCACCTTCCTGCACCCAGACTGGATGGCATCTTAAGCTGAGGGTCACTGGCGGGGACACGTGAGCGCGTTCCGCCACGACTTCTGAGGTGAACCGCAGACAAGGGGCAGACCCGGGGGCCCAGAGAGGAACGGGAAGGGCAGAAGCAGCGCTGAAGAGGCGGGACACGCAGCCGCAGCAACTCGGCTAACAGCCCGCACAGGCGGCGTAGGCACAGATCTCACATATGTGCGGCTGCTCAGCTATGATTCCTAAACAAGTAAAGCAGAAACCGGACTCTGGTGACCCCTCGCAGCATCTTTTCTCTCCTTCTCCCTCCCCCAGCCGAGGGCCCTGGCATGTAACTCTTCCTCGCCCCCATAACTACCCCAGCCCAGAGGTCTGGCAGCCCAGCTCCAACCGGGTGCTGGCTTGGATGGATTAAATTTGGGGGGAGGGGGACATCTGAGCTTCCACTTCAAACCCCTGCTTGCAAACCTAGCCTGTCAGGACAGAGCCCCTGAAAATGTTATTGATCAGAACAGAGTTACCCCTAACACCCGACAAAGAGAACGGAGCTACTCCCTAGGCCCCCTTGGAAGAGGAGAAACATGCAAGACAGACCTTTAACACCAGACTAATAAGAGCCGGACCCTAGTTCCAAGTCTCACCAATCATAGAAGTAACATCCCCAAAAGGTGGCCAATCAAAACTGAGCTAGCCCCAAATCAGCCTCTCCAGCCCACCAATCATAAAAAAGGCAACTTGCAACTTACACAGTCTCTGGAAAACCTGTGCAGCATCAGAACGAGTGCAGATAGATTCCAAGTCCTTGGGAAGATCCGGGTGGTCGCACAAGTGGACCCCGTAGCCCTGGGCCTTCCGGCTCCTCATCCCGCTCTCCTGCAAGTCCTTGAGTTTCTTCACAGACTCCAGGGGGTAGAAGAAGTCCCCATCCTGAAAGGAAGCCAGCAAAGGCATTCTCCAGCCCTGTTCTCCAAGCTGATTCCCTGCCTCACCCCTGTACTGCCCATCCCTATCTCTTCCCTGACTTGCTCCACTCTGTCCATGGCAAGCGCAGGGTCCCCAAGCAAGGTGCCTGGCGTCCGAAGGGAAGAAAGAAACTATAGAACATTAGCTTCTGAAAGGGACCTCAGCTAGACCAAAGAATTTAGAATTGGTAGGGTTCATCAAGCTGCTGCTTTCATTACAGATGAGGAAACTGAGCCCAGAGAAATGAAGTGACTTGCAAGTCACTGAGGTAGAAAGTAGCATCTCCAGCATTTGCACCTAAGTCTTGGAATTCCAAATTCAGGGCTATTTTCACTAAGCTAGCAACTTCCTGGTAGAGTGGAAAGCACACTTACTGTATTCAGGCTCTAGGGAACAAGCTTAGACAATTGCAGCCATCTGTAGTTGTCCTGATCTGTATCTGGCCACTGGACCCAGATGGCTCCAGAGGAGAAAGTGAGGCTGATAACCTTGCACAGCCTTCCTCACTTAAATCCAATTCACTTGCATGTCATGGCATCACTTCCCTGAAGTCATGGTTCTCTTTGAGAACAAAGGACAGACAGCAGCAACCAGGCTTAGAAGTTCCTGGTAATCTTAGGCAAGTCACTTCACTTCTCTGGGCCTCATTTTCCCCATTTGTAAAATGAAAGGGTTGGACTAGGTCCCCGTGTCTAAATTCCATGATCTTCTGATCCAGTCTAGAGCCCCATTCCACATAACCTCCTTTGCAGTCTCTTTGTATACTTTCAGTGATAAGGCGCTCACTACCTTGGGAAGTGCCCACGGAATGAATTTAATCTGTCAGAGTTATCTCAGAGAGAGTAAATAAGCAGATCAGTCTCTTACACCTAGGGGGAGAGGGTGGGGCCCACCTCCCACCCTAACAGAACCCACCTCACAGCTGTGTAACAGGTGCCCTGCCTGGCCCTAACTTCAGCTCAGGGTCCTGCTGTTGTTTGTGAAGTAATAAAAAAAAAAAATCCCACCAGGAAGCAGTTATAGTGGGGCAAGACCACTGCCACTGTCCAGCTGCCTCAGGCTGGTCCTGTTCCCCCTCTCACTCCCCCTTTCTCCATCTGCATCCCCACACCCACCTACAATGGCAGGGTTCTGCTCCTAAATTTTCCTCTCTTCCAACTCACCCAGTCCAAGGACTTTCAACTTCTTTCATACCCCTAGGGTTCAGGTCCTCCTCTCCATTCTGGTTCACTAAATACACTCATCCAGGCTGAAGTCTCCCAGCCATAGGTTTACATGTTAAAAGGGGTCTTCCAGGTCTCAAAGGCATAACCAGCCCCCTCCCCCAAAAAGGAAGACTAAAAATATGATGATGACATGATAATTATTTTACAATTTAATTGTGTAAAATGTAAGACCTAATGTAATTTCTTCTATTGCCTGGCACATTAAGAGGTTGTAGTGTGGGCCAAGGGCAGGACTTTAACTGAACCTCAGCTCTCCCTACCCTCTTTTCACCCTTTCCCTCCTCCTTCCTTTCTCCAGTCCTCCAGACTGCAAGACCACATTGCCTCTCATAGTATATATTCATGTAATCCTATATATTTTACATAATTATAAATTTATTTAAATAGCTATGCAATTATATATGTATTATTGGGATATCTGATACACAGCTATATAAATGTCAGCTTTCATTATTTATTATTATTATCACTCACATGTTTTTTGAAGCATCTTAAAGTTTAAGAGAAAGAGATGTTGGGTCAGAGGAAGGGACCACATAGACAGAGTCAAAGAGCTAGCATGGATGTGAAAAGGTCCCCAGATGCCCACTCCTCCATCTTCACCGCAGTGCTGCCCACCAGGTGATTGTCCTGACTTTTCTGATCTGCAGAGGATGGGGGTCCTGTGGGCAAGTTCTCCCTTGTGTCTACCTCCTGTCTCTCCTGCTTCATGCAGCTGTCGCACTACCTCCTGCACTGTCCCTGCCCCAGGATAGAGCAGCTTCTCTTCAGGGCTCTTTTCTCTCCCCTTTCCTTCCCCTTCCTCAATCAAAGTAGATTGTAAGCTCCAAGAGAACAAAGCCTGTACCCATTTCCTCTTCCATTTCTAGGGCTTATCTCCAGGGCTGAGTACAGGGCACCAAACTTGATTGAAATTTAATTGACTGGAATTACTTGGAGAAAGGACTTGGATATCTGATGGGGCTAAAGGGGAAGTGGACTGAGAAGAAAAACAGATTCAGGCCAGGACCCTGACTCTCCCTTCCAGATCAGGAAAGGGGTCTCCGAGAGAAAGAATGACCCCCTCTAACCTGAGGGCTGAGGGCCCTTGCTCAGGGGAATGAAATGACAAAGGTTTGGAAGACCTGGGCTAGAGATGAGTAGTGAGCTCCTAACAGGATTCATACAAGGACTGGCTAAGGATTGAGCTAGAGAAGGTGAGACGTGGTCAAGCAGCAGCCCAGGGTGCTAAGAGCATCAGCCTTATGGTCACAGGAACTGAGTCAAATCCTCCACCTGTGTGATCTTGGGCCTGGGTTTCCTCACCTGTATCATGAGGGTAGTGTGCCAGATGGCTTCTAAGGCCCTTTCTAGCTCTGAATCGATGATTCCATCATGACATAATAGCCATCTTTGATATCCGAAGGGCTGTCATGTAGTAGAGGCATTGGGCTTATTGAATCACTGAATCTCAGAGCTTGCAGGGACCTCAGAGGTCATCTGGTTCTACCCATACAAAAAAGAAACCCTTCTACAGCATCCACGAGAAAACAGAGAACCGAAATAGACAAGGGCAGGACAGGAATTATACCAAGACAGGTATCGCCTCAACATAACAAATGCAAAGAGGTAGTGAGTTCCCCATTCCTGGAGGCACGTGAGTGGTTATCTTGTAGAGGAGCCACCTTCAGATGTAAGCTGGGCTAGATTCCACCCCAACTACCCTTACCCAGTGCCCTTCCGTTCTGAGATTTTAGGATTCTAGGACAGTGAAGAAAGTTGGGGCTGGGGGAGAGGGACTCACCTGGACTGTGACACTGCCCACCAGGGTGGCCAGCCACAGAGGCACAGGGTGGAGAGGAGGAGAATGTTCATGGTGGCTGAAGACTCTGGTGTTTCTGCTGTAGACCCCAGGTAGCACCTTTTTAAAGAGTGTTGGGGTTACTGAGTAATCCTAGGTTTACGTCACTCACTTATCTGTCACAACTGGACCTTATCTGACTGAGATAAAGTGAATGGCTGATAGGAGACAGGAAGACCTAGGCACCCCCAGCATCAAACTCAAGTACCCTCCTTCTCCAGAAGCCTCCAGAATCTGCTCCTAACAAGGCTGGGAAGTCATCTTCCCATAGAGTGATGGTCTCCAAACTCTTTTGACTGTATACCCCCTCAGCAAATAAATAAGTGAATAAGCATCTCTCTCCAATATGTGTATATTTGTTTATTTTAAGTATATGATATGTTACTATACTAATAATTATATACTTTATAAGACATATACATAGAAAACAGAAATTTAGAATGATGAAATGAAGATGAAATATTTGCTCCAGCAGATGGCAGGTTGCCACTGGAGTTTACTGAGGAAAAGAGCAACATTGTTAGACCTGTACTTCATTTTGATAGCTGTAGAGAGGAGGTCTTGGAGAGAGAGAGATTGGAGGCACAGAGACCAATTGAGAGGCTATTACAATAGTCCGGGACAGAGATAATGAAGACTTGAGCTAATATTTGCCACCTCTCCCCTTTCAGACCACTCATTCCTCACATGACTTTCCACTTGCATCTTTTTGCTCAAGGTATCCTTTGCCTCCCTCATCCTTTTCTGTTGAAACCTTATCCACCCATCAGGTTAAATGCCACCTCTTCCATGAAGCCTTTCCTGATCTCCCAGGCCAGAATTGATCTCTCTTACCTCTGAACTCCTATCATATTTTATTCATTGCTTACTCTACCTTATAGCATAGTTAACATGTAGCACTCCCTCTGAACTCCCCCAATCCACACACACTGGTGGGCTCAGTCCCCAAAGTGAAGCTGCTGTATTAGGTTCTAAAGGTAACCTGAGAGTCCGTACCTCTAACACTATAGTTCAGAACCACTGCCCCCACTGGTGTGCTTCCCATTAAAAATCATAACAGTAGACGCAATTGGATTTCAGCAAAGGCATTCACTCAGGTGGCATAGTAGTTACAAAACATTCCCCCATAAACTTGGGGCACACTCACCCACACGGAAGGTGTCGCTGAGAAGAGTGGCCTCAAATGTAGAATGTGATGGGAGTGAGATATACTCGTGGGATACCCATGTGGCAAAGGCAAGTCACAACCCTTGGTAGCCTGGGGCTTGTCAGTCCTTTCTTTTTCTGCAGGGTCTCTGCTGGGAAGGTTGCCCAGCTGGGCTCCTCATTTCTGCTCCTCAGCTTTTGATTGCCAGGGTGGGCTTCTTGAAGCTTCTTCTTTTGGGTAAATGTCCATATCTGTGTCTGAAATGTGCATGTCTCTATTCCCCACTGGATTTAATGGCTCCTGCTCCCCTTTTAAAGCTACATGGCTTGTGGGGGTTAGGGGGATAAAAGAGAAATCCCCATTTTTACATATGCCCTTGAAGGCATGAGATCCTCTCCAGGCCTCTGTAGAGCCACAAAGCAGAGCTGTCCCAGAGAGCAACAAGTGGGAAAGATGAGGAGGGGAGGGGAGAGGCAGGTTCAACCTCCCAGAGGTTGGGATGAATTGGCCTAGTGGTTGAGTAGGTAATATAGGGGTCAGGAAAGTGAGAAGTCTTACTGATAAAAGATCTTCAAAGCCACAGCCAAAGAGCATCTGGTTTTCTCCTCCCACCCTACCTCCTTCTACTAGCCAGGTCCTCAGTCTCCCTCTCCCCTCCATCCCTCTCACCCTCATCTCCAGATCACACCAGATTCATAGACCTTCTCTCCTTACCCTACCTCACTGCTACCCTGACCTCTCCAACCCTAGTGATAGGAAGATACAGCTGTCACTGGAGACAGGGGAGAAAGCAGTCAGTATGTAGCAATTTGCTGGGAGAGACTGCTTCCCTAGTTTGTACTAGATATCAGTATTTTCCATTTCTGTTAGAGTCAGTCAACACAAATTTATTAAGAGTTTACTCTATGCCAGGTACTGTGCTAAGCGCTGAGGATTAAAAAAAATGTTGAAAGCTAAAAATAAATAAATAAATTTATTTTTTAAAAAAAGGCAAAAGAAAGTCACTGCCCTCAAGAAACTCACATTCTAACAGGGGAGACAAGAAGTAAATAATTAAGTTGTTGTTCAGCCTTGTCTGACTCTTCTTGATGTCATTTGGAGTTTTCTTGGCAGAGACACTGGAGTGGTTTACCATTTCCTTCTCCAGTTCATTTTACAGATGGAAACTGAGGCAAACAGGGTTAAGTGATGTGCCCAAGGTTATTTGCACTCAGATCTTCCTGTCTCCAGGCCTGGTGTTCTATCTCCTGCATTACCTAGCTGCCCAAATTAACTAAGGACATATAAGATATGTACAGAGAAGATGGAAAGAAATCTGAGAGGTGAAGGAACTAGCAGCTGAGGGGACTAGAAATAGCCTCCTACAGAAGGTGGGATTTGAAATGTCTTAAAGGAAGTCAGAGAAACTAATAAAAATAACAACAGTAATAATAAAAGTTAATCCACACACATAGTGCTTTATGTTTCAGAATGTTCATATGTACCTCATTTGAACCTCACAATAACCCTATTATAATTGAAGAAAGTGAGGCTTAGAGAAGTTTCAGGTGACTTACCCAGGGTCACACAGCTAGTATGTGAGTAGGCAGAGAATTCTAGCCAAGGACAGCACAGCAGATGCGAAGACAGAGACATGTGTTTGAGGAACAGCAAGAAGCCTGGGTCAGACTGGCTCACAGGGTGTGCAGAGGAAAGTAAAGTGTTAAAATACTGGAAAGATCCATACCTACAGAAAGAACTATGGAGTCTGAATGCAGATGGAAGCATACTATTTGCTTTCTTTTTCTTTTGTTGCTTTGTTTTATTGCTTCATTCTCGTGGTTCCTCCCATTAGTTCTAATTGTTCTTTACATCATGACTAATGGGAAAATATGTTTAACATGAATGTATATGTAGAGAGTCTACATCAGATGGTATGTCACTGGGGGGGAAGAAGTGGGAGGGGGAAAAAATTTAAAAGTCAAAATCTTATGGAAGTGAATGTTGAAAACTAAACATAAATTAATTAATTATCCAAAAAATAAACTAAGCATAACATGGGAAAAATAAAAATAAATAAATAAAATATTGGAAAGGGAGGAAGGGGTCAGGTCATGATAAATGCCAAAGAAGACTATCTTTGATTCTTGGAGTAATAGGATGGCATTGGAGTTCATTGAGCAAAGTGATGACATAATCAGGCCTAGCCTTTAGAAAAATCTCCTGGGTGCCTGCTGAGCTGGATCTTTTCTTCTGTAACTAAGTGGCAAAGATTCTCCCAACAAATATCCCAGCTGAGATCCCAGACCAAATAGTGAAACTCAGAAGGCTAAATGAACTGGGAGAAGGAAAGGAGTCCGAAAGTATGGCAATTCCAGTCAGAGATACCAGCCTCTGCTTTTTTGCCTTGGATAAGGATGAAACCTTCTACAGTGAACTCACCCATCAAGAGAGGTTTGGCTATGAAATAGGAAGGAAGCAAGAATTAACCAATCCTGTTCCTCTCTTGAATGAACTTTAAAAGGTAAAGCTCAACCAACTAAAGATGCACACACACAAACTTTTGGATTTGCACTAGCACATGACATGGTAATGCTTTTAAATGAATTTGTATTTATCCATCACAACAGCATCCAAATATACTTGTAAAGCGAGAGGATATAGAAGTAAGTGTTGGGTGGCGTTTCCTCATTCTACAGAAGGTATGCTTGCACTGAATTTCTTGCACTTCCTTCTTGCACTGAGTGGTGATGCATATAGGCTGATGAATTTGATTTCCATTCCTGGCCACAATCTGGAGCACATTATCAAGGGGATGGTTTATGGACACTTAGAAACAAAAGTGGTGATTGCTCAAACCCATCATGGATTTATCAAAAACAGGCTATGCCAGGCTAACTTCATGTCCTTCAGACTATTGATACTAGTGACACATACCATTGATGTAGTATGCTTGGATTTCAGCAAGGCTTTGAGAAAATCATAATATTCTTGTGAACTAGGTGGAAAGATATGGATTGAATGGTCTAAATAAGTGTATTTGGAACCGTTGAATGATCAAACCCAAAGGGAGGTGATTGATGATAACCTGAGAAGGCTCTTAGTGACAGCTCTAGAGAACTGTCCTTGATGCTGTTTTGTACATTTGTATTTCTGCTTCAATTCCCACTTGATATGTAACTCTATAAACTCAGATTCAAGTTGTAAAGGATTCTTAATGGTAATTTACCTATCTGGCTCACTTGCTCCCACCCAATTAGGAAACTGGGAATCTATGGAGTTAATTCATGTCCACACATTCAGTTGTTCATTATGTTAACAGACCCAGGCAAAGAACAACTTTGAAACAATAAAACATTTAACTGGACAGAATTGAAATGTAAAGTAACAGAAAAGAATCTCAGTCATGTTTCCAGACAAGATTTCCTTTCCTTGCCCTCTCTCCAGTAGTTTATGTTGAGAACTTCCCCAAAACACTTACAGCTTTCCTGTCTCTCTCTCTGCAAAGAAATAAGGCGGTTGCAGTGCTTGGTGTGGATAGCTGCCTCAGAACTTCTCCTGGCTGTGTCTACAGAATGCTGCTTGTTGCTTGCCCGGCTGTTCCTTGGGGCTTGTGAAGCCCTGGACTTGAATTGTTCCTGGCTGCAGTTTCCATTTGCTAGCTTTCCACAGCCAGGGTCTTTGCTGTTGTCAAGACTAAACTTATTATGTTGAATCTCACAAGAGAAAAACTGCTGCTCCTCCTGCTACTTCTCATTCTTAGAAAACTCCTTTGTTCCTCATAGGTAAGGACCTCTATTTTCTCTGTCTCTTTCTTCAACTTTCCACTGCTGGTTTTTCAAACAAGCAACTAATCAATGCCTCCTTGATCCTGTCTCTGTGTGAGGG